GCAATGTCTAACAATTGATCTAATCTAAAAAATCATATGTCTTTGTATCAGGAGGTTTATATATTACACAAACTAAATAGCGGTGATCATTCTAAAGCGGTTTATTCAAAAACATAACCTTGACTCAGTAAATTTATGTCATTCTTAACGGTGGGATTTAAAATATCTGCACAATAAAGTACAATACTTTTTTACCAGAACAAAAATAGTAAGAAGCTATTTTACAGTTTTCTAATTGATAAACTTCCATATTTTTTACGTTTGACCAATGTTCAACCAATGCTACAAAGTGAATGTTTACGTATTACTTTTGTATTATTTATATTATTAACACAATTTGAAAGTCCTCGTACATTTTTATGATACAATTTTAGAGAATTGTTATGGTCATTCACTACTTTTTTTAAATAATTCTACGAGCTCTTTGTTTTTGTGGATTTATTTTCAACAACTGTTTTATAGCAAGAACATTCCGAATCATTTGCTTTATGATCTACCTGCAAAGATTTTTTTAATTTAACATTTGCCTTAAAAGAGTTTATAAATTTTTGAATTTGCGCTTTACATTCCGACATTCTACGTTCACTACAGGTAAGACATGTAACAGAATTTTGACAGTTAATCGCTTTATGCCCATATCTTGTACATCTTGCCATCTAATATTTATCTTACCCGCTTGACATAGCTTATCTTGTAAAGACACATCAGCCTTTAATACTATAATCTCTTTATTTCTTTGGCCTTCTCGCATGTATTTGGTAACTATACTATCTTCAATTGCATATCGTCACCATCCAACTCATATTGTTCCTTAAGAGTGTGTATAATAGTTTCCGTGACAAATTCTTCTTCACTTCCTCTAATAATTACTGTTGCCTACCATCTACGACACTGCATTGTTTTTCAAGGTTATGTTTAATTTTGTTTCTTATGTTTTCCCTTAGAGTTTTTATTATCACAATTTACTATAACAGTTTCTTCCTTGCTTTCTACCCCAACTGGATTTTGGATCAATATTTTGTCTGAGATCACTTTTGGTTTTATTGATTCCTTGTTTTTCTTTTGGTTCTATAACTAGTACCTAATTTTTCTTATCTTTAAGCACATCAGTATATTTATTATTTTGTTTCTTCAAATCTTTTAATGATTTTAAATCTAATAATAATTCTCTTAATGTTTCATTTAGTTTTTTATTTTTCTATTTTGAGTACCCATAATGGTTCTTAATGTTTTGATGAATAACAGTATCAATAGATTCTATATTTGATAAGATCTTAGATTTTGTAATTTCGCGACAATTTTTGCAACAAAAATACAAAGTTCTATTAATTTGCATCCAAACAACTGCTAGCTTCGTAGTTGTGATTTCGCAATATTTTTGACAATAATTATCCTGAAAATCATTACAAGGAAACACTTCCCTACCCTCTTTTTTATCCGGTGATTTCTAACATGCAATATACTTTATATTTTGTTAAATTTCAAAATGTATCTTCTTTTACTGGACTATTAATTTTAAACTCAAACAATTTTTGCTGATATTGATAAGAATATAGTTTCTAGAAAACTTCACCTATAAATTCAATAATATCACTTTAACACTGTCATCTAGATTTAAGATTAGTGCCCTCGAATACATCTTTTTTTATTTTTGAAGTTTTTTAAAAAAAATTTTAAAGGGGTGTAAATTGACCTAAAAGCCCACAAAAAATTTAATAGACCTGTTTTTGCGTTTTTTTCAAATCTTTTATCCTGCAACTCTAGCGAATTAGTTCCCACCTAGTATACAAAAATATTAATTCTGGTAAAGAAATAAAAACAATTACTTTTATATTTTTTTCATACAATGGAATGGTGAAAACAGTTTTTTAATTGAAACAAGTTAGGTATAGTAATGTTTAAGGAATAATTCATTGTTTCTGTTATAATTTTTTGTTTTCGTCCATTTTTATCCATGTTTTTCAATCGTGACTATATATTTTTTATTTCACCAAAAGCTACATGTCAAAACGAAAAACAATTGTACTTGAAGAACTTTATAGGATAATGGATAATGTTTCTACGTAGAATTTCTTTTTAACGAAAAAGTGTTTTGAATCGAAAAAAAATAATATTTCAAAATATTTTGGATTTTTTACAATAAAAAAAATTTTACTTGTTTATTTTATCAAATTTCATTAAAATAAATTATTTTTGGAGAAAATAAAAATAAAAACCAAAGAAAAAATATTCGAACGTACTTTTGCATTTTTTTTTTTTTTTGAAAATTTAGAGCTTATCTTAATAAGTGACCTTTACAAAAGCTGTAGATTTTTGCTTAATCTACAATATTTCCTTTATAAATATTTGTTTTTGACGTTAACTTTCGCCATAAATCACGATATTACCATTTTTACCTTTTGACCCCCCTAAAACCTTACTTCAACCCCTCCAGGTTGCATTTTTTTTTACTTATTACTAGTCCCTCTACCATTAACACGTATCAAACTCCAGTTAACAATTTTTATTTTTTTTATCTAAACGAGTTAATTTGACTGGTATATTAGGTACAGAAAATGTTTTCAATTATACCATAAAATGAGCACTGCTATTATACACTAATTTCCTTTAAGTTTTATGCATTAAAGTAAGCATCTCTAAAATATAAAGGCCAAATACTGTAAGGATTCTTAAATTAACTAACAAAGACTGGCAAGAATGAACAAAAGAGACATTTGAAATGCATCTAATAATTCTGTTCTGAGCTAAAAGAACTTCGTCAGCATGGGTGAAACCTCCCCAAGCTGTGATTCCATAATCGATTCTAGATTGCACTTCGCGAAAATAGAATAGACGAATATGGTGCAACGTTGAAGTTTTATTTAAGTTTCTTATACGAAAACATTTAGAATTAAATAAATTAAGTACATTTATACTGTGACTTTTAAAAGACTTGTCTGAGTCAAAAACTAAAAAATTTTACTCTCAGTTTTTAAAATAAATGAATTATTTATAGATATACTGAATACAGGAACATAAATGATTTGAAGCATATGAAAAGACACAGAGGGGTGATTTCTTCATTGGTTCATTTGTGCAATAAACACCCAGTTAAATTTCATAAAAACACAATATTTTCAAATAAGTAACATAAAAATATAATTTCAATTCTAATAATTTAATTGTTTTCATACGTGCTCATCTCAGTTTTTTGGTACGCCAATGCGTTCTGTTTAACCGCGTCTCTGTGAGTGATCACGAGGGAGCTAGAGGTTTTCACGAAAGCATGTAGCTAAAAAGAAAGATCAATACGACAAGATATCCGTAAAACAAACAATGAATCTGCTTATAATCACTTTATTCTGTACATCAGACATCTAATTAAAGAGTGTAACGTCATAAAGTAGAGCGGGGCATACGAATCTTTGTTATAACGCAAAATAATGTTTATGTCGTCTCTACTTCATTCTATCTCAATGTTTCTTATCAAGCTGTCAAAGTATAAAAATCCCCATGATACAATTTTAATTGTGTATTTTATTTATTAAAAATTAAGTTTAAATAAAAGTGCAACTTTTGTTTATTTTTATTTAATTTATTTTTATTTATTTTTATTTATTTTTATTTATTTTTATTTATTTTTATTTATTTTTATTTATTTTTATTTATTTTTATTTATTTTTATTTATTTTTATTTATTTTTATTTATTTTTATTCATTTTTATTCATTTTTATTCATTTTTATTTATTTTTATTTATTTGTATTTATTTTTATTTATTTTTATTTATTTTTATTTATTTTTATTTATTATTTATTTTTATTTATTTTTATTTATTTTTATTTATTTTTATTTATTTTTATTTATTTTTATTTATTTTTATTTATTTTTATTTATTTTTATTTATTTTTATTTATTTTTATTTATTTTTATTTATTTTTATTTATTTTTATTTATTTTTATTTATTTTTATTTATTTTTATTTATTTTTATTTATTTTTATTTATTTTTATTTATTTTTATTTATTTTTATTTATTTTTATTTATTTTTATTTATTTTTATTTATTTTTATTTATTTTTATTTATTTTTATTTATTTTTATTTATTTTTATTTATTTTTATTTATTTTTATTTATTTTTATTTATTTTTATTTATTTTTATTTATTTTTATTTATTTTTATTTATTTTTATTTATTTTTATTTATTTTTATTTATTTTTATTTATTTTTATTTATTTTTATTTATTTTTATTTATTTTTATTTATTTTTATTTATTTTTATTTATTTTTATTTATTTTTATTTATTTTTATTTATTTTTATTTATTTTTATTTATTTTTATTTATTTTTATTTATTTTTATTTATTTTTATTTATTTTTATTTATTTTTATTTATTTTTATTTATTTTTATTTATTTTTATTTATTTTTATTTATTTTTATTTATTTTTATTTATTTTTATTTATTTTTATTTATTTTTATTTATTTTTATTTATTTTTATTTATTTTTATTTATTTTTATTTATTTTTATTTATTTATATTTATTTTTATTTATTTTTATTTATTTTTATTTATTTTTATTTATTTTTATTTATTATTTAGTTTTGCAATACTCCCCATTTCCCCTCCTTAATATGTTACAATCCAAAAACCTTGAAATGTGTCCTTATTTACTAATAATGAGGAGATACAATTCCAATTTTTAAGCTCCTACCTTTAAAAAACTGAAAGTCTTATACAAACTTTACCTCCCCTTTGCCTCCATAATATCTATTTATTTATGAATTTTCCTATTTTCAATTTTCTACCTTTTAAAAAAGCGATACCTCCATACAACCTTTCCCCCATTTCCCCCTTTTTACCATTTCTCCCTTTCATCCCTGCCTCCCCTGTCTCCCCTGTCTCTTCTGTCTCCCCTGTCTCCCCTGTCCTCCGTCCCCTGTCTCCCCTGCCTCCCCTGTATCCCCTGTCTCCCCTGCCTCCCCTGTCTCCCCTGCCTCCCCTGTCTCCCCTGTCTTCCCTATCTCCCCTGTCTCCCATGTCCCCCCTTTCTCCCCTTTCTCTCCTTTTCTCCCCTTTCTCCCCTTTCTCCCCTTTCTCCCCTTTCTCCCCTTTCTCCCCTTTCTCCCCTTTCTGCCCTTTCTTCCCTTCCTCCCCTTTCTCTCCTTTCTCCCCTTTCTCCTATTTCTCCTATTTCTCCTATTTCTCCCCTTTCTCCCCTTTTTCCCATTTCTCCCCTTTCTCCCCTTTTTCCCCTTTCTCCCCTTTCTCCCCTTTCTCCCATTTCTCTCCATTCTCCCATTTCTCCCATTTCTCCCCTTTCTCCCCTTTCTCCCCTTTCTCCCCTTTCTCCCCTTTCTCCCCTTTCTCCCCTTTCTCCCCTTTCTCCCCTTTCTCCCCTTTCTCCCCTTTCTCCCCTTTCTCCCCTTTCTCCCCTTTCTCCTCTTTCTCCCCTTTTTCCCCTTTCTTTCGCCTTTTTTTTCTCCATTTTTTCCCTTTCTCATATTTCTTCCCTTTTTCTATTTCTCCCATTTCTCCTCTTTTTCGCGCTTTCTTCCTTTTTCCATTTTCCCCTTAAAATATGAAAATCCAAAATCCCTAAAATACACCATTATTTATTTCTGATGAATAACTATAATTCCAATTTTCAAGTTCCTACTTTAAAAAAATCGATGCTTCCATACAAACTTTTAACATCCGTTTCCCCTTCCCCTTCCTTATAATGTAAAAATCCAAAAACCCTAAAACACATCATTATTTATTTATGCCTAGTAAATTTTCATGTTTCACTACCACTATGTAAAAAATCATGTATGTGAAAAACAAGAACAAATATATCCCACGTAAACCATATAATTTTCCGGAATAGAGCCTATGTGCTATTCCAGACTGTAATCTATCTTTGTGCCAAATTTCATCCAGATCCGTTTAGCCGTTTTTACGTGATTGAGCAACAAACATCCATCCTTTCGCATTTATATATTTAGTAGGATAATATTTAGGTGTATTGGGTTTTATAGTTTCTATCTCTATCATGGTTCTTATCTTTTTTATGGTTTTTATCTTTATCATCTGTTTTGTATTTTTTTTACTTTATGTTTTTTATCATATTATGTTTAATTTTAAACAAATATATTAATATAAAATGAATAAAACTCAAAGCCAATATCACATAAAATACCAACGACCGTTTCCCCTTCAGAAAACAACTACTCTTTTGGCTAATACCGCAACAGGTATTGAATTATATCCGAAGGAAAGACAGCGGAGATAGAAATTAAATTTCAACACTCTCTACCTGTATTTTCGTTTTTACAAATTGACCGCCTGGCCTTTTTGGTTCCACCTAGTTTTCTAACTGGGTACTACAGCGCACTTTGATTTTGCTTACTAAGAACAGATGGCGACACCATTTCACTACTTAAATTCCTATACTCTTCATAACCAACTTTATTGTACACTGGTGAAATGTGTAGAATTTGTTAATTCCATTAGAGACTGGAATTGAGAACCTATCTATTTCTTGCTGAAGAGTCCTAATAAGGACGAAACTGATCTAAGACTAATGTTCTCCTTAGTGAGCAAAATCAAAGGTAGATAGTGTTGAAATTTAATTTCTATCTCTGCTGTTTTTCCTTCGGATATAATTCAATACCTGTTGCGGTATTAGCCAAAGGAGTAGTTGTTTTCTGAAAGGGAAACGGTCGTTGGTATTTTATGTGATATTGGCTTTGAGTTTTTTTCATTTTATTTTACGTCTATCACATTTGAGTTTGATTTATTTTCGTTTTTTAAATATATTAATAACTGAAATAGGTGTTTTTCACCTATGAGTTCATACTACTTGTTCACACCGTTTAGTTTATACACAGTTTGTAAATGTTTGTTGTAAATAAAAATTATTAATATTGATTTTGGAAAAAACTGATTAAAAATAGGGAGTTAAGATAGGTTGAAATTAAAAAAAAAATCCTAATTTAAAAAGCGATATCAACATGAAATTTTTAGTAAAAATGAAGATAAAGCCTATTGATTCTGTAAAAATCTAAACAAATTGGGGGAGAGTTAAGGGGCGTTAAAATATTAAAAAAAGATATCAACTTAAAATTGTCAAGCTCTATAAGCAGAACAAGTGCTTTGATTTGAGAAAAATCTGATTAAAAATGGTGGCTTTAAGGGTGGTTGAAATAAAAAAAAAATTATAAATCAAAAATGAAAAGAGACATCAACATGAAATTTTTATTTAGTAAAAATCCAGCTCTATAAGAAGATGAAGCCTATTGAGTTTGAAAAAATAATATAAAATAAAACTGGGGGTTAAAGGGGTTGAAATGTTTAAAAAAATTATCTCAAAAACGAAAAATAATATCAACTTGAAATTTTTGGAAAAATCAAGCTTTATAAGAGGATGAAGTCTTATTGATTCTAAGAAAAATTGAAAATAAGGGTTAAGGGGGTCTGTTAAACTGTGAATAGTATAATTTAAAATGCCAATCATTATACAGGGTGTCTGTAAAAGGTCTTTACAAAAACATACCACATATTCCTTAGACCAAAATAAGTCGATATAAGTAAAATTACCTTTGTACAAAGTTGCTTCGTTTGGGCTCCAGAGGGCCTTGAAGTTACAATTTTTAAATCGTTTTTCTCATATAAATTTAAAACGGCATATGCGATTTTGCTGAAGTTTGGTAAATTGGTAGAGTTTTATGTGGCAAAAAAAATGTTATTAAAATTTTGTCCGATAATAATACATATAGACGTAGAACTTGATTTTTTAAATAATTGCACCTTTAAAAATTCTACGCCAATGGAAGAAAAGGAGTTTTGACGAAATTTGCATTTTAGTAATTTTAGAACATAAACAATAATTATTAAAATAAAAACTTTGTCAAAACCATGAGAGTAAATCGAGTGTTATCAAGGGTACTTTTTTGTAGTAAATGGGTACCCAATCCAAATTTCATACTCAAACCCCTTTTTTGCCATTGGCGTAGAATTTTTAAAGGTGCAATTATTTAAAAAATCAAGTTCTACGCCTATGTATTATTATCGGACAAAATTTTATACGATGAAAAACATAAAAATGTACTTTTTTCATATCTTCTTCAACACCTCTAATCGAGACTTTTAACAAAAATACTCGATTCTTGCCATGTACGATTTTTTGAGGAATATTAATTATTTGCCTGCAATACGTATACCAAAACATTTATTGTTGGTTTCCATAGTTTCATATAAATAAAAATATTGTCAAGTTTTAACACCTAATCTCTTGTTGACGATTGAAAGTGTTCTATCTGACTCAATAATTAAAAAACAAATGCGTGGTTTATTAATATGGCTGTACATTACTGTACAATATACCAATGCAGAATATACCGATATGATACTGACATTAGGATTTTGCGAAGGAAATGCTCGAGAGAGTGTCAGGGTGTACTCTGAAAGGTTTCCAAATCGTCGTGTACCTAGCCACCCTACTTTTGCTGCTGTTGAGAGACGTCTTCGGGAGACCGATTCCTTTGCTCCCAATAATAATGGAAGAGAATGTTTTGTAAGGATTCCTGAAGTTGAAGAAGACATTTTAGAACGTGTTGAAGAAGATCCAGAATTAAGCACCAGACGAATTGGAAGGGAACTAGAAGTAAGTAAAGATATCGTTTATAAAGTGCTTAGAGAACAATTGCTATATCCATACCATAAGAAGCCAGTACAAGAATTATTATTCCATGATTCTCAAATTCGTTTGGGTTTTTGTCGATTTGTTAATATGCAAAGAGAAAGAGATCCAAACTTTGTCAAGAAGGTTCTATTTACCGATAAAGCGGGTTTTACAAGAAGAGGTATAACTAATACCCATAATGAACATGTTTATGCCGTTGAAAATCCGCATGCAATAAAGGTAAACCATTTTCAGCACGAATTCAAAATTAATGTGTGGGCTGGAATAATTGGTAATTTCATTGTTGGTCCTGTCATACTTCCACGAAGATTAACTGGAGAAAATTATTTGGATTTTCTACAAAATACGTTGCCAGAATTGTTAGAAGATTTACCTCTCCAACTTCGGAGAGATATGTGGTTTATGCAAGATGGAGCTCCACTAAATTTTTCTTTAAACGTTAGAAACCACTTGAATGAACAATATCCACACAAATGAATAGGCAGAGGTAATGACGCACCTGTAAACTGGCCACCACGTTCTCCAGACCTAACACCGATGGATTACTTTTTATGGGGACATCTGAAATCCACAATTTACAGGGAACCTGTAGAAAATGAGGAATAACTCTGGCAACTTATTCAAGATGGTGAACATTTTGAACAATTTTTGTAAAATCTCTGTTTTGGTTATGTTATAAATAAATATTTTTGTGAAACCTATACACTCTAAATTAATAAAACAGAAATTTAGCGAAAACCATAAGAGTAATCGAGTCTTATCAAGAGTACCTTTTTTAAAGTAAATGAGTTGCGCAATCTAAATTTCATACTCAAACTCCTTTTCTTCAATTGTCGTAGAATTTTTAAAGGTGCATTATTTAAAAAATCAAGTTCTACGCCTATGTATTATTATCGGACAAAATTTTAATACCATTTTTTTTTCCACATAAAACCCTACCAATATACCAAACTTCAGCAAAATCGCGTATGCCGTTTTAAATTTATATGGGAAAAACGATTTAAAAATTTTAACTTCAAGGCCCTCTGGAGCCCAAACGAAGCAACTTTGTACTGAGGTAATTTTACTTAAATCGACTTATTTTGGTCTAAGGAATATGTGGTATGTTTTTGTAAAGACCTTTTACAGACACCCTGTATATCTTCATTTTAGTTTGTATCTATATGTTATGTATTGTGATGGGACTGATCTTATAAAACAAACATTTTAGATCACTTGTTTTATTTGTCAGTAAAAGGTATTTAAAAAATATATTATTTTATTAGGGGTGACAAATTGTGAAAATAATTAAATTTACAATAAAATGGTAGGTAAAATTTTATATATTTTTTACACAAAAATCATTATCAAGCTTTCAACATAACCTAATATATATTCAAAAATAATCCCAAAACATAAAAAAATAACTATAACTAATAAGGTTTATAGATGGTTTTCAACTAAAATAGTAATTCATTCATTAATAGTTGTGCTTGAAAACAGTATGTATATTGATAATAATTACTACACTTAATACAAACCCAAATAAAAAAAAACAGCGATATTCGCACTTGTACAAAGTTTTGAATCGAAATTAGAATTGATAAATTTTTTGGAAAATGTTAACGCCCATTTGAAATTACCACTAGCCGTCACTGATGACACATAAGTTTGTTTTATTAGTATTGAACGACAAAGCATGAACACCAAACCAAGCAAAGAATTGTGATAGAATATTTAAGATTCTATTTTTAAAGAAAACCGAATATTTATAACTAAATACAAATGTCGAGTCACCAGC